TTTGGGGTACTTCTCCCCGTGGACCCCGTCATCACGATGAAGGGAGGGATCAATGTATGCTCTCAGGCTGGAGCCTCAGAGGGACCGGCCATCTCTTCACCATTGGTCTCATCAACTGGTTTGACAGGACTCTCCTCTGCATTTTGGGTCACGTCTACATTTTGGGTCTCCTCTGCATTTTGGGTCACGTCTACATTTTGGGTCACGTCTACATTTTGGGTCACGTCTACATTTTGGGTCTCCTCTACATTTTGGGTCTCCTCTACATTTTGGGTCACCTCCCCATTCAGCTCCTTCTCCTCCACAGCCTTGATCTTCTTGTAGTGAAGGCAAGGGATGCTGCTGGTCGGAGGGTCGTGTTTCTGTACCAGGAAAGAAGACCCCAAGAGTTTTTACAAAATGTTGACCGTGGTGAATTTGAAGCCATTGTCGACTTTATCGTAGCGTCTTATGAAATGCTCACTGGTTTGGAATAGAATAAATACATTTGAGGGGTATGAAACAGGATGCCATCAGATTGTTACCGTGGGTTTGCTCAACAATGCTAAGCACCACATCTTAAAATGGTGGCAAGAAGACTGAGAGAGAATCACTAAAGTCTTTCCATAATCCAGTAAATACAGGTTTTGACTGGGATAATCTGTTAGAGTGTGATTTATTTTAAATGTTCACATACCTTTCTAATCAAATATAAACTTGTTTTTAAAACATGGGACCGCCTAATCTGCTGAAAGGCATGCTGGTGTAATGAACTACAGCATTTCTTATAATAAATACCCTTTGGTGCAGCCAACTAATAGGATCTGTAGGAGCCAAAATGCTACCTAGCCTGAGTTTATTATTTGTATTATTATTATTATTATTTGTTTACGTCACTTTAATTTGTATTTGTTGAGCACTTGTCACATGGGTGTGATTTGTGTATTTATGTCACCTGTTTCATGTCGAGTGCAGATGACAGAGGGTGAGCTTGTGCTGCCATTTTTTTCTGTTGACCGTTTTGTCCCTAGAGTTAGTGTTTTGATTTTGTTTATTAAATATCGTCAAACTATCTAACTTCAGTGTGGACTGTCTCATTGAAAACACGTCGCAGTTTATAGCCAAGCTTATTAGCCTCTCAAATAGAATGGGGAAATGGAGCCGCCACAGGATCCATGCAAACAACTTGAATGCAGTGCTCACGTGTGAAATGTAGGAAGCTTATAAAAAGACACTTGTGTTGCATCTTACCCTAATACTGCCAGTGCCAAGGAAGTAGGGTCTGGACCAGGTCACCACTCTGGTTTCTCTGTGCAGGTAGACGGGAATGCCCGAGTTATGGAATGTCATGATCCATCCGTCTGGGAGAGGCTCAGTGGGGGGGCGCCCACGACCTGGCGTGGGGGGGAAATGCAGGTGCTAATTAATACTTTTAATGCATAACTGAATATCTCTCCATTCATATCAGTTGAGAGATATTCACACTAGGCGGTGACCATGAATGGTGGATTATTCTACCCAAGGAGCCTGATCGTCAGTGGCGGGAAAATGTAGTTATTTAGGAACATCATTAATTCAACTTTGTGTCACCTAATAGTTGAATATCAATGTTGGATTACCGAAAAAGAAGTGAGCGGAAACATTTATCTAGTTCTTGCACACACAAGTTCATGTATTTGGATATGGTATCAGATCATGTCATAGGTCAGGTCACACACCTTTAACAATTATTTGAACAATGAGCGCATTTAAATAAAAATAAAAATTTCAGAAAGAAAACACAATTTGGATCATTTAGGACTTTTTTTAAATGTATGTTGACAGGTCACTTTGACTCTTGCATTTAGTATTTTGAATATCATATAGTATTGTGCCCCAAAGTACTGAAACTGCACTCCATGATTATTTGATGGAACCAGAAACAAACGCAGACAGATCCACCACTCACTCTTCAGGACAGTCTTAATTTTGGTCATCATGGGCTGAACCCCTCCTTCTCCGTCTGACGGGTGATCACTTTCCCCGCCATATTTGTCCTCTGACGGACGCATCTTTTTAGGGACAGGCATGCCCTCCTCCAGCAAGGCGTCCACATCGTTGTCAAACTCCTCCTGGAAGAGTGAGTGGTTAAGGCCGGGAGAGAAGATTGGGTCACCCGAGGCCTGTACTACGAATCCAGTTCAACAGACCCTGGATATGTTTGAGTTATCTGGCTTAACTAACCCAAAACAAACACGCTCTCGCTAAGCGGTCCTACGACGCTGGTTATCAACTCGGTAACTCAAGCCAGGGTTTCTCTGTCTGGCTGAGTGCTCGTTCACATGAAAGGGGCGGGGTTAGCAACATTTGACCAATCACAAACATGGAGAAGCGTACTGACTGCGCAGAGTCATACTTCCTGAATGAAAAGTCAACTATAATATTAGACAAATATTAAGAAGTTAAACTTTAAACATCCATGACTTAAACACTTTATCCAGGATCAAAGCCACATAGCTGCACCTGCAAGGTGAATACAGCTGGTAACAGAAAAAGTGTTTGAATGCGTCCATTAACAGGTTTATGATATCACTGCCCCGTCTAAGACACCATCTGACTTTAATTACATTTGACTCGAGTGTTTCTTCAACTTAATGTGTTGCTTAAAATAATACTTCTGCATACAGTATGTGACACTGTGAGTGTTGCACGGCCAGATACGGCTCAGCTGACTCAGATAAGGAGATATATGATACATTATGATGTGATATGAATGATAATCGGACACATCGACGTCTGCACTCACAGTGCCGCGGACTGTATGTAATGTTACTTTGATCCGGTTACTTATGTTAACTTGTGGCAGATATTCAAGTAAGCTTTCTTAACGCTAATGTTATAATAGTCAGATTGCTCTGAAGATGGGAGGTGATATTCTATTCATTTTCAC